ACGTCTAGACGAGGTAGAAAGAAGACTGCTGCTGCTGGTGGTGGTGCTCCTCATGCTTCGGGCATGCCCGAGTTCGAGCGTAACGAGTACCGGAGGTTGGTCCAGCACATGGTACGCATGAACAAGGAGTTGGCTGCGCCTTTCATGAAGCCTGTCCCCAAATGGGTTCCTGGTTACTACGAGGTGATCACTATTCCAGTCGATATATCGATGATACTCAATCGGCTCGACTCTTGGTTTTACGCATCCCGTGCTGATTTCGAAGCCGACATGAGGCAGATGTTCGTCAACGCCTACACCTTCAATCAGCCCGGGTCTCTTGAGTACGAGTACGCCCTCGAGCTCCACTCTATCTTCAACACAATGATGTCGACTGCTCTTGACAAGGTATTGCAGCACCTGGCGGAAGAGTACGAGAAGGAAGTGCGATCCACCACGAGTAGTGGTCGGAAACGTAAGCGACGATCGACGTGAGAGGCTTTGAGCCTCGGCCGATATGTTATATACTGCTTGTCGACTATTTTTCTGCTCAAATCGATTGATTATTACTGGCCGGGTACCGTTGTAGGGATGAAGTTCATCCTGACGATTATTGCATATTTGTTCAATTTCGTTGTAGTATTGCTGTGGTTTTTGCAAAGCATCGTCGGACTTTAGTTGGTGAATTAAGAAGTGTTCATCGCAAATCCTGGTTCTTGTTTCGCGAGGTTGCTCATGAGCTGCTTTGGTAGATTAGATGCACTGTCAACTCCTTACTTGTGTTTAGTCGGACAATGGTACAACTGGACATGTCGCGCTCACAGCAAGGTCACACTACAGAAATTGCGACACTCGTCTTACTGGTGGAGCCGGTTCGCCTAAGAAGAGTTTATAGGCTCATTGCTGCAGATTTCTTCTATTGTTCCTCACCTCCACTGCCTAGGCCTATGTAGCCCATGATCGTTTGGAAGGAAGATTGACCTTCCAGTTCTTGTTCAGGTTGGGCGATCGACTCTGTTGAATCTCTCGCATCTATTACTCGTGCGGAAGCTCCACCGGCTGCCTGATGATTTCGTACGCGACTTGGCGCTGCTGGAGCTGTATGCTTACTTCGTCACCTTCGCGCTCTGTATAGTGTCGAGACGAAGGAGGCATCTGTGACCGCATTTGGTTTCTGATATCTTGCTGGTGCTCCCGAACCTGAGACATGCAGACGACGTTTCTGCCCCCAGCGAATTGGGTAGTGTAATCGAGAAGCGAGCCGCTCGATCACCGCTCGACTGTGGTCTTCAAAGAGTGTGGCATTATCAAGAGAACCATTGAAGTTGGGGTCTCGAAGCAGCATTTGCCGTAAGCGTTGGAGCTCGTAGTTCCTAGGGACCAGTCATGAGGAAGCGAACTGGTCCTCAAGCTCATCCCCACAGGGTGTCCCTCTCGAAACGGATCTGGTCATTCTCAGCCTGTTGTAGGGTTATTTGCCGTTGCTGCTCTCGGAGCCGTCTTAGTATCTGAAGCATGAGCGACGTTTCAGTGATGCATGAAATAGAAAGGAGAACGTCACCCTTTTATCGCATAGTCCTGAGACGTCGGAAATCGCATGTTGATATTCCATTGAAGTTTCGTCAATTTTTCGCGAAAGTCGCCTAAAGATGATGGCAATGCCATTCACCAATGTTGAGCCTGTACCTTTCAATCTGTTGTAGTCGTTGGAAACTATCCCAGAATTCTTGTAGACGGAGGTCTAGACCTTCCTTGAGAATCTTAATGTTAGGGTCGATACTTGATGCTCCATCAGGCAGCTGAGACGAATAGCTGTTGATATGGTATTGGATGGCGAAATCCAACCCTCATTCGACCCTCATCGTCCATATAGGGCTCAAGCAGTACAGCAAGTCGCTCTTTATCATCGACCAGGGTGCTGTTCGCCGCAGCAATCTCTGCAAGTTGCTCTTGGTAACTATACCGGTCAAGAACATGAGAGCTTGTGATACATTCACTGAGTTACGTTCGGACGAGAGTGGCTATCTCTTCATCCCTGGTAGGTGCGGAGCTCGTTCCTGGATAGTGTGAAGCCGTAGATGGCCGCATCGCAACGATAACACAACTGAGCTTAACAATTCGTTCATTCGCCCCCTCGATTCTCCTTGGAACCCTTTGCACTCCCAACGGATAACACAGCTCAAGTTCCCATAGGGAGGCTCAGGAAGCAGCTAATATACTACATTGAAAGCGGTCGTCAGAAATCTCGTGGAATGTTTTGGATGGACTAACAGCCTCCTGTAACACGAACATCGATTGTCGTTAGCCATTCGCGCTTCAATGGCTTGGGAACGCTAACGTCAGTGAGAATCCTCTCTACTGGTTTTGAAGTGTAGTGATAATAGAAAACGTCCAATCTGAGCTCACCATGAATAGCATCAGATAGATAACAGTGGGGTAAGTCCACGAACGGACCAGGCGCCCACATCCATTGCTAGAGCGCACACATACTAAGTCGTGATGACTCCGTCGATTGATCGGAACGAGAGAGTTTTCTATGATTATGATGAATATATTAACGCGTATTTGGTTTCCATCGCACTCTCCAGCCCTTGACACTCTGGGACCGGCAAGGTATGTGTGAGGATCCAAGAAGATCCAGGTGGAGCTCGATGTTTCTAGTACCTATCACCTCGAATTACCTAGCATCCGAACGTGACAAGATCATCATTGATATATGGTTCTATGGTGTAACGGTTAGCACTCCAGACTCTGAATCTGGCGATCTGGGTTCAAATCCCGGTAGAACCTTCTCATGTAAAGAAGGATCACGTAGATGTAGAGAACACTTTTCAATCATGTCCTGTTCCGGAAGTTACCCGAGGTAAGGGTTTTGTCCGGAATCTAGGAATCTAGGTTAGAAAACGGTCGAATTTTCCAATTCGTTGTCATTATCCCCCCGTCG